TATAGCATTCCACTGCCCTGTTCAGCAAAGAGTGAAAGGGTCTTAGAGGAAGGATGGGGAAGAGGAAGCTAGTGACCTATATTATCATAACAAATTAAAATCTTAAGAAATTCCCTGTTAGAGCAATTAGAGGACCACAAAAATAGCTGTGCACTTGGTTCTGAGCTAAATTACTTGAAAAACATCATGTACTCTGTCACTCACAACAACCCTCTGAAGCAGCTACTATGACTATCCCCTTTTTACAATAGAGGCTTGAAGAGATTAAGAATTATGCAAAGTCACCAAGTGCATAACACCCCCTCCTCCCATACTGATACTAGAGAATCATCATTCAGCAAACATTCAGCATTCTATCACACGATCTGCTACCACCAAAATTCAAGCGTCTATATTGGGCGTGGTTAAAATCAACTCTTTGGTGAGCTATTTAAGATACCCAGCCACACAGCTGAAAATACCACAACAAAAACTGTGCTAGTTAATGCAGCGATGACAGCAACAGTATTATTGTTGTAACTATTTATTAATAAAGAAATCTTTGTTTGCATTTTTGATTGTTTTTCTGAGGTTTTGATGCACCTAGATAAATGAGCTCCTCTTAAAATTCTAACCCATTCCTTGCCTCAAAATGGCTAGGTATGTTGAATGATCATCTAAACGTGTATTCAGCACTCACAGTGTACCATGTGCTGTTCTAAGTGCTTATGTGCATTATTCCATTCGAGTTCCACTCAACTCTTTGCGGTAAGTACTACTATTAGTTTTCATGTTACAGAAGAGGAAACTGAGGCACATAAAGTTTGAAGGCTATGGAGCTTGTAAGGGTAGGTTAGGATTGGACCCCAGCAGTCTGTGCTCAGTGTCTGCACATCTGTCTTTCAAGCTCTCCAGTCTCCAGAGCTGAAACAGCTGAACACACTGAGCTGGGGCTAGTGCCAGAAGAGAGTTCTAACCTTGGATCTAACACGTCCCCCTGCCTATCTTCAGTTGCTCTAGCACTCCCCAACGCTCCTTCCTGCCTCTGCGCCTCCGGCCACCAAGCCCAGCTTGGCTGAGTCTGCATTCTGCAGATCTGAGCTGCAGGGAAACTTCGCCAGGGCTCCCAGGCTGTGCCCCTTCCTTTGCTCTCTGCACTCTCTCATGCACCACTGATGTTAACTGTAATTAAATCATTCTTTGATCAATTATTTGTTTAATGTCTATCCCCCCTACTTGACTATAAACAGTAGCAGTTCCAGACTTTCTGTCTAGGTGGGGGCTGTTTGGGTTGGGGGGCTTGGCTTCCACTGCTTAGTACTTGAAATCAGGTTGAGAAATGTCAATTGAATATAGAAATGATTGAGGGTGCTGATGAAGATTATAGGGGAAAGCACATCCCACCCCCACCCCTGCTCCCTCACCATGGTGTCACCCCTGACTGTAAGCTCTATAAAGGCAAAAATAGTGTCTATCTCTTTTATCACTGTAACCCCAACACCTGGCACTGTGCCTGATACACAGGAAGTGCAAAATAATTTCTTGTGGAATTAATAAATAATTAAAACAGAGCCTCTGACTTCTTATCTGAAAAAGAGGGATGATCAGACCCAGAACACAGCTTTTTAAAGCAATATTACATACGAAAACATGCTAAGCACAGGAATGGCACACAGTAAGTGCTCCATAAATGCCTGTCATTGAATTGGAATTCCTGCCTCTCCTCACTCCCACTAACTCAGCTCTCAGGTCCGGGCAAGGGCAGGAGCTTAATAAGAGAACAAAGCCCAGAACTGTACCCACTCTACTCTCCCGGCCACGATCTGTGGGGGTGAAGACATTGATACTGAGGTTGGGGTGAAAGAACTGTTATTAGCATGGGCAGGAAGGCAGGGTTGTTAGGATTTTGCCTCTAGCAGAGAAGTTGTACCCAGGGAAGAGATTAAGCAGCAGATTGAGCAGTTTTGGAATGAACAAAGTCAGATGAAGGAGAAAAAACATCCAGGACAGGCCTACTGGCCACCCAATCCAAAGGAATGACTGTGGTGTCTCCAACCTGTAAAGGAGCAAATGTTCTGCATCCCCCCACCATCTTTCACTCTGTTCCCTCATCCCCAACCACTGGCCCCTGGGCTGCTGGAGAGGTTTAAGCACAAATCAGAGTGTGTCATGACCCTGCTTAAAACTCTTAAGAGGATAATATCTGAACTCCCCACTAGGCCGACTTCAATCTTGCTTGCCAAGCTGTGGCCTCCCGTCAGCAGCTCCGTGTCAGGCTTTTCCCCCGCAGGGCCTCCACCCAGGCTCCCTCTGCCTGGCATGTCTCCTCAACCTCCCTTAGGCTCACTCCTTCTGTCTTCAGTCTCAGCTCACAACTACAAGCCCCCTGTCAGAAAGGTACCCAAATTAAAATCAGGTCCTTCCCCACCGCTCCCCATACCCTCAGATTCGCCTTCCTTTTCCCTTCTAGCACTTATCATAGGCTGAAATCGTGTAGTCTGCCAGTCTGTCTCCCCAAAAGACTGTGAGCTTCACAACGGCAGGGAGGGCTGTCAGTCTCTCACCACTGAGTCCCTAAAGTCAGGGCAGGCCCTAGCACAGAATATACGAATGAATGAATGAATGAATGAATTTATTAACAGTTGCCCCAAACCACTCTTCTCTTTAGGTTCCAAGTAGGAGTAGAATATGGTCCCCAGTGCCTCCCCAGACAGTGAACCACACTCTGCTTAGGCATCAGAGGCTCCTCCCAGCTCAGGAGTGGGGGCTCCTCCATCTTCCCACCATCCCACCAGGGCTGGGGTCTCCTCACCTCCTCCTTCAGGAAAGCTGAGAAAAGATCAAGAATGGAACCCTGTCTGTCTCCCGGCTAATTCCTCTAATAAAGGAAACAGGAGAGCAAACAGCACCCCCCCTCCCCCATCCTGCTTTTCTTCCACAGTTTAGAAGAGATTTATATATTCCCATCCTTTAAATTGTTTGAGCAAGTTCATGAGTGAACGAACACTGGCTGGAAAATTACTGCTCCAACTTTCCTTGTTTAACGTGCTTCAATGACTTGCAAGAAACACATTTTTAGGTTTGTGATGCTGAGAAGGGCTGGTAGCAAAGTAGAATGTACCGGTTGCAAAGATCTAGAAAATCAGCACTACAATTTACTAGATCTTCCACTTTCTACATCTCAATTTCTACACCTGACAAATGGGAATAAGGATATTGAACTTCCATACCTGTAAAGGGAGGTCCTGAAAAACTGTAATATACTCTATTGTCCTAGTAAAGTGTTTTTCTCATGGCTTTAAGGAAGGTCTCAGCCCTGAGAGGAAGACTGAGTTCCCTAGGGGAGGGCCTGCTCTGCCCCGCAGGAGCTGACTAAGTCAGTCACACTGCAAAGGTGCGTCTCAGTAGCGAGAAGGCATTTTAGACTGGGACTCAGTGTCCTTGAGTACTGCTCTGGGTTTGCAAAATGTCTTTCCGCTGCCTGTCTCCAGAGTCCCAGCCCTAGACCTCTGGCCTGGGCTGGGCGCTTTTCATCGGCTCCCCTGACAACAGCCAAGCGCAGTCCTACAGTGGCGTAGGAAGAAAAAGGCAGCCTCACAACCTCCCAGTGAAGCCAGAACACCAACACGTCAAACCTTACAGGGGATTCAGTGCCTGGCCCAGCTCTTATCCCCGCATCAAAGCCACCCCCCACCCTGTATTCCCCGGAGGCTACAGCCCCCTCCGTTCCTGGGCGGAGCTGGGCCTGCTGCGAAGGCTCCTCGCCTTCCCAGAGTCAGGCCTAATGGCGGGGGCCTTTCTTTTCACCGGCCTGGGCTGATGCGCTACCCCCGCCTCTCCCCCACCCCCCATCATTAGCTGCAAAGAAAGGATCCCCAGCCATTTCCATTTCCTCTGCGGCTCGAGCCCCCTGTTGTTATTTAATCCCGCGGCCACCTCAGCAGCATCCTCGGCGCGACCGGCTCCACCCATCCACCTGGCCAATTCTCGGCGGCTCCCGCTTCCTCCGAGGGGAGCTGGTGGGGTAGTCGGGGAAAGGCGCCTACAGCAGCAAAGAGCCGCGGCCTTCGGTGGACAGACGCTCCTCGGGCCCGAGTCCCGTGAGGGCTGGAAAACGCATGGGGCTGGAGAGGGAGCAGCTAGCCGGGTCAGCAGAGGGCAGGCAGACGCCGGGGCACTGCGGACATTACACTGGGGCGGGGGGAAGAGGGGCGTTTCAAGGCGAGAGCCAGGTCTCCTCTAGCTGAATAGCCAGCATCGCCCAGGGGGGTACTGGAGCCGGAAGATGCCTCGGCCCCGTCGCTGTCCACACCCAAGAAATGGGGGGGAGGGGTGGTCTGCACTCACTCAAGGGAGAAAGCCTCAGGAAAGGAACCAGATTCACACAACAATCCCCACTCCGCCCTTCTTTGATAATGCACTTTTGACATTTTCTTAATATTTGGTAAACGCAGCTTCAAGGCCCTTCCCCCTCCCCGACGCCCTAGTCCAGAGAAAGAGAAGGCCCCCAGCAGGGGTCTTCCCGCACCTGCCCCCTCTCCCCCTCCTGCCTGCGGCGGGTAGAGATCCATAGATATAGGTGTATCCTCCCCCACCCGGCTCTTGGCCCAGGATCCGGAGGACGCAGTACCCCCCACCCCCCAGCGACACTGACGGTTCCTGCCCAGGCCCGCAGTGGCTTGAAGGTGGCCTTTACCTCCTCTCGCAGGCTGGGAGGGGGTACAGCCCGCGCAGCTGAGCCAGCTGCAGCAGTCGCCGCCGCCCTCCATTCATAAAAAAAAAAAAAAAAAAAAAAAGAAGGCAACAACAACCTCCACCCCCCTTTGTAAAAAGCGACGGCCCCTGGAGGAGCGAGAGGCAGCCCCAGCAATCACGGGTTAAGTTCTTTTCCGGCCCCCCATTCATAAAAAAAGGAGCGCAGCGCATGCGCGCGCGGGGTCTCTTGTGCCCACCCATTCATAGAATCGCGAACGGCGCGCGTGCGCACTGGAGCTCTCTTCCCTCCCATTCATAAAAAAGCCATTTTCCCAGGCAGTGGTTGCAACATCGCCGAGGAGGCAGCGAGACGAGCTGACAGCGCGGAGTTGGCGCTGCGGAGCGCAGGGAGCCGTGCCGGTTCCTCCGGCCGGCGTCTGCGAGGACAGCGGCGTCTGACGCGCTCGGGTTCGGGGATTCACACAGACGTGGAGCAATGCTTGTGACTCTGCGGCTCCTCAAAGTAAGTCCCTGGCCGGTTTCGGGATTTGAAACTGTCCCCCTGTAAGCCACGACCTACTCCCCCTCAGGCTGGGGCAAATGGTGCGCTATTTCTAGGCGCGCCTCAGTGTTCCTTCCCTTTCTCTGCGCCTCCTTAAGCCGTTGTGCTGCGCCGCAGCTCCCGGACGCCCTCGGCTGGGCCGGCACGGCGCCGGGGGTGTTCACAGCCTGGCACTGGCGTTTCCGACCCCCGGGCATTGCCAAGCCCGGCTTCCCTGCTCTCTGCGACTCGGGAAGCCCCGTGCGTGTCCCAGAGTTTGCCTCTGGCCTGGCCTTTCCTCTTGCCACCACCCGCCTCGGGCGCTGGAACGGAAGACTCCGGCCTCCGACAGGAGCCACCTTTGGGTCCGGCGGGCACCCTCGCCCTGGGCGGCTCGCCCACCCCCGGCTCGGTGCCCACGGTGCCAGCTCTGCCGTAGATCTTCCCAGTCCGCCGCAGCGGCCTATGCTCGACGTAGGTTTTTCTTTCCTCTTCGGAGCGGTGACGGACTGGGTTTTCTCCCCTTCTGCCTCCCCCTCTATGGTCACCGGGGGGCTGGCCAGGGACTGGGCATTTCTGCTCCCTTTTGGCGAGGCGGTTCCTCGCCGTCTGACCTTTGCTCTGCTGCCGCATTTTCTGCTGTGCAGCTGCCTTGCAGTTGCCTTTCCTTTCTCCGGCCTCTGCAGGGCCCGAGGCTCCTCGGCCTCCTCTTGCCTCCCTATCCCCGGGCACCGAGCTGTGCCAGGCCCCGGAGCCCCCAGGCCGTGCTGGGGCTGTGGTGGGGGCTGAAGGTGCGTTTACATAACGCTGGGCTTGAGGGAGCTGGAGGAAGAGGTTGCGTGCGTAGGAGAGATAAGGCTCCTGCTTTCCTCCTTCCTTCTTGGTGGTACCAGGCTTGACATCACCGAGAAGAGAGAAGGATAGAGACGGTACGTTCTGAAAATTCTGAACCGCCAAGGCCACGGGGGCAATGAAGGGGGGCGAGGGCGGGTTTGGCCAGCCAGGACAGCTGGAGCTTGGCTCCATAGCTGGGACCAGGGCTGTGCCCAGTTCCCCCTCCATGCAGACGATCAAAAAACATTTAGACAGTAGCTGCTCTTGTGCAAGAAGACGGTTTCTCAATTCTCTTTGATTGGGTGCTGAGGGTTGTGGGCAGAGGAGGCAAGAAGGCGAAAAATGGTTGCATGGCTTGACTGGCTGAGCGATGGACAGGAGAAGCCAACTGGGCTGGAGGGGCTGGGTGGTGGGCAGAGGGGAAGCTGCTGGCTGCCTCATTCACCAGCTGCTGGATGGGCATCCATATTGCCAGGCCTGGGTGAGGGCAGGAGGCTGCCTCCTGGCGCATCGGGGTTCTGGGAGCCCCCCAGCATGATTAGGGCTGAAAGAAAAGGTATGGGTTCAGTGGGGTGCCCGGACTCAGTAGGAACCCCCTCTTTCCTGCCTCCAAATCAGTGGCGTGATTCTCTCCAGCTTGGGGAGGGGCAGGAGCAAGTGCATGTCTGTCTGATTAGCTGGCCAAGGCTCTCCAGTCTTCCTGACGAGCTTCTCAGGGATACCAAGCTGGAAGGTGAAGGCCCAGAGCATTTAGGAAATGTGGGCTTATCAATCTCTTAAGCTCGGTCTGGCCTGAGGCCCTACCCAATATCGCGCTGCTGATTTCACAATGTTTAGAGTTCTCTGGATCTTCACATGAATGGAGCATAAACATCTGAAATTTTCAGCTTTTTTCTCTCTTAGTGTGTGGGTGTGGGGTAGACTAGGAAAGGTGGGGCTGCTGTTGGCCCCTTTCTCTTTCTCTTTCTTTTTCTCTCCCTCTCTCTCTGTCTGTCTTTCAGCAGAAGGGTGAGAAAGAAGTTGTAGACAGGTCCGGTGTAAAATTGAATTTCCTCTCTTTTCCAGCCCTTGGGAGAGTCCTCACTTGCCAGCAGGCTCCAGATGAATGTGAGCAGTGCACACGCTGGCCAACTGAGCTGTGTGGCCAGTATCGGATAGAGGGCGTTGTGGCGGATTTCTGAAATCTCCTTGATGGACAAATGTTGGTCAGCTAGGGTGAGGAAGACTTTAAAGACATCTCTTGGTTATCTTCCTTTTTAGATTCTGAACTCAGAAGTCATTCCCCTTTTTGTGGAACATAAATGCTCTATTGCTCATTCCCACGACCTTTTCCAGATTACTCTCTGAAGTGGCAACATCTCCTGAAAGCTTTGGTTGGGCTTGGAAGGAGACAGAACACAGAGACTAGAACGATTCCTGGCTAAAGCAGGGCAGAGGCTGGGGGCTGGTGAGCATCTGGAGCTCGTAGATGTCATTTTTGTTTTCATCCTTCCAGAATAGGTGGAGAGACGAGGATCTTTGGAATTCCACCCCTGTCCAGTTCATACTCTTTACCCCTGACTCTGGTAAAGGTGACATTGCCTCTGCCCCGAGGTTAGGCTGACTTGAATAACAAATGAAGGCAGCCTTTCAGTGCAAAATTTGAAAGTTAGTGACTTAAAAATTAAGGGAGGAAAAAACACCCATTAACACCTCTAGAAGTGGCCTTTGAGTTGTGTTGCTCTGGGCTTTATTGCTGTGGGATCACATGTGGGGACTTCTCTTCTAATTCCTGAGGCTAAAAGTCCCTCACTGTGACATCTTCCAGCCCCCAACGTTGAAGCCCCCACAGCATTTTTCTTTGCTTGGGCCGTCCTCTTGGGTGGGACCCACGTGTTGGTCCCCGGGAGGCTTGGAAAGGTGCCTACTCTCCTTCAGGGAAGTTCAGTGTTCTTCGACAGTTGTGGCATTTAATTTGGTTCTGAATCCAGAGTGTGTGTCACCTGGCCTCTCCTGAGGTGGAGGTTCCCTTGTGAGGAACACATGGGGGAGGACTCTTGCACAACACACGGGATCTACGGGTATAGTTGAAAAATTTAGATTTGGGCTGTAGACATGACAGTGTTTTTAAGGAAGGGGAATGGCAAGAATGGAGAAGGTTCCATCTCACGGCCAACCTGGATCTCTCTGACAGAAGGGAAAGCAGTGACTCATTGGAATATATTTTTGCTCTTTCAAAAGAACCAGAGGAAGAAGGTGATGAAGAGTAGCATACTGAAAGCTGTGTTACTCCTTCCAGACCAAACTAGGGGCAAAGATGGAGCAGATAGAAGGCTAGGAAACCAGCTAAGCCCGGGTCTTAGTCTCCCCATCTGCAAAGGGGGGAGAAGAAATTCTTCCCGAGGGGCCAGTGCTCCTTGTTAGACTGGGCGCCTAGGAGGAGGGCCTGGTTGTAAGGGAGCCCCTCCCTACACAGGAGGTGTAGGGTGTTGCATGATGTAAGAGGCGGGGTATTCTTGGCTCTCAAGGGTCTGGGGCCACCCTGCAGATCCGGACAGCTGACAAGGCTGGGGATGTATCCGGGACATGTGGCTGGGCTTAAGAGGCTCCACCGTTCAGCTGTGATCGCGATTGTTCTTTCCAAGGACAGTCAGTGGAGGAAGCAAGGGCGCTGGGGAGGGAGCACAGATGTGCTGGATCTAGTGGAGGAGGGAAGGGGCCCCTCTAGGGCAGGTGGCCATTTGCAGAAAGTGGTTTCCCTTGTCGGGGAGTCTTTCTGGTCAGGGGAAGGGGGAGTGATTTCCTGCCCCATCCCAGGAGTAAGCTAAAATCTATTATTGTAAGTTGATTTCTTAGTGGAGAGATAAATAAAAGGATCTTGGTGCCAGTGAGAGGAGGCCCTCCCCTGGGGGTCTAGGTTTCTGGTCTCCCCCAAACTTTGATGTGGGCCAATAGTTCCCAAACTGTGTTTAACAGGCTTCTTCCAGCCCCATTCTTTTCTCACTTTTGACTTCTAATCCCCCTCGAAGGGGATCTGAGCAGACAACAATTATGGGGGTAATACATTGAAGCTGAAATTTGAAGCCAGTTAGAATAGCCCAGAGCAAAGTACAGCAGACCTCTCCCACTCATCCTGCACTGGGGCTTTGGCTTGGTTGTGGAGGAGGAAGAGAAGAGGGTTGGGAACTGATAACTGGTGATGGGACAAAGTGATGAAAAGCAGCTGTTTTCTTTTGTGATCTTTAAGAGATTATGGCCAGAGGTGAGCTCCTTAGTGCTGGGGCTGGAGTGGGGGCTGGGGGGAAGGAGCAAGGATTCTCAGACAAATCCAGCCGTCTAAATTCTTTATCCACCTGGTCTAAATTCTTTATCCACCTGCCGAGGCGGGTTCTCAGCAGAGATGCAGACTGTCTTCCTCAGTAGGGTGTAGGGAAGGCAAATCCCTGGCTCATCCCTGCCATCCCACCCCTGCCACCGCCCGCCCCTTTTAAAGTCTTTTTGAAGCAATAAGTTGTTTTTTGGTTGGAGCTTAATTAACTAAACAGGGATGCTATCACAAAAAACCAAGCGACAGTGGTGGGCAGGCTCTCTGGCAGCCTAGAGACCTTTTTTTTCTGAGCTGTTAAAGGGTTAAGCAACCTTCGCTGAAAGAACCTGCCAAGACTGAATGGGGCAGTGCAGGAAGTGCCCATTCATTCGGAGCCTCTTGCCAGTTTGTCGTTAGCTGACTTGTAGTTTTCAAAGTACAACTGTCAGGTTTTCCTAGTATTTCCCCCCTCTTACTCCTCTCCCCCCGGCTAAGTCAAGGGGAAGAGGAGGGTGGGTGGTGTGGGTATTTAACATGCCTCTTGATTCTTTGCAACCAGCCTGTACTGAGCGGTCTGCAGCCTGATGCTCAGCCTTTCCTCACAGGTACAAATGCAGCGTCAGGCTCACAGACGCCACGCTGCAAACACTGGGCTGTGTGCCCTGAGCTTTTCAGTGTCCTGCTGATTCAGTATTCTAGGATCTCTTCTTCTGGCTTCATCTAACCCTGGCTCTTCCTTCCCCTCCCCACAGACCTGGACCAGGAAGCACCATCTGTGAACATGCCCTAGGGACCCTTAAGGTGGGACCCTAGGGACCCTTTATAGGTGGGAGGAGAGGGGATTCCCTCCCACTCTAGGGTTTCGTTTTAGAGACTGCTATGTGGTGAGATCCTGCAATTGAGACCCATTCAATTTTAAGAAAAATAAAAATGAAGATACTTAGTAAAATGGTGGTGTATGAGGTGACAGAAGGGATGACCAAAAAGAAACTGAATTGGAAATGAAGATAACTTGAGCTCCGAGCCTTCCTTTAGTGACAGATTTCAAACCCCCAGCCTCTGCTCTCCATACTGAAAACTCCCCTAATTGGGGGCCAGACTGATGAAAGCCCTGTTGGGCTTCATTTCCCTGCTGGTTTGGTTAAGAGCTGGCAGCGGATGGCCTGATGAGGTTCCCTGGGGGCTGGTGGCAGACTGGGGAGACTGGTAGAGTCCATGGCTGTGAAGTGATCACAGCTTTCATGCCTTTCCATGAATACCCAGAAGTTACTGTAAGTCAGGGCTGCAAGATTAAGGTTGCCACCTCTGGAGCCTCTGCTGTCTGGGTTCGAATCCCGCCCTATTCATTCGCCGGCTTGATGACCCTCTATTCTTCCGTTTCTTCTGCAAAATGGGTGTTATCCTCCAAGGTGATGGTGAGGATTAAATGAGAAAATCATTGAGGGCTTAGCACACAGCATGACACCAAGAAATGTTTCATAAGTATTAGCTGCTTCCATAATTATTATTTATTATTAGAAGGTTGGAGTGGAGGTAAAAGTTTCCTTTCCTTGTGCTAATCCATAAGACTGCCACCTACAACTCGATTGAGGACCTTCTTTGGCTAAGTGGAGTGCTGGCTTTCTTTCTCTGTCCACAGTCTTCCAAATTGGCCATCAGTCTTCCGAATAGCCTAAATGAGACACAGCCTCCTCTCTCCTATTTATATTATAAATCTCTTCCTTCCTTGCAGGGGAAGCAGAGAGTACATATTAAATAACTGCACTTAAGTTCATCAGCGTTGCTTAGACTGGAGGGTAGGTGTGTCCCAATGAGTAGAGATTGATCTTCTAAACCAACTGAGGATTGGGGTTTCTTTTTGAGACTTCATTTAGCTGTGCTGAGGGATTATCAAACTGGCTGCTCAGGAAGTTGTTTTTCTTTGTCATCCAAATGAATTCAACCCTCCTGTAGAGGGTCCCTGCTAATGGGGAGGTGAGGCGAGGAGGCCTGACGAGGTTTGAGCAGTGCGACTTTGAGCCAGCGCTGGTTTGTGCTGAGCTGGTGGCCAGAAGGAATCCTACATCTGGGTTGTGATAGGGAAAATGCGTTTTAGAATATGCCTGTTGGAGCTGTCTTGGCTGCGGCGTGTCCCAAGAGAGCTGAGTCACCGTGGACCAAGCTCTCACTCCCGAGTCTGGTCCCAACTGCAGGCCCAGATGTTGACAGCACCTCTGGAGGTTGGTGGGAGCCTGCTAATGCCAACAGCCCATTGCCTGCAGGTGCTGCTCCCATCCTGGCTTCCCGGTGGGGCTTTTCCATAGAACTTTTTCCATGAATCTGCCCTCTGATTCCAGGGCCTATTAAACTCCCTGAGCACTGGGGATCCACAGAAAAGGTGGCTGTTTGTAAAGAACCCCAAGAATAGAATTGGGGAAAGGAGAGTGGATAATCTGCTTGGGGGAGAGTCCCCTTACTTTTTCCCACAGCGTGGCAACTCCCGATCTTGGTCCTAAGAGACAAAAGCCCAACTACATGCGGCAGTACAGCCTTCAAACTGCCACTGGCATTTTGTTGGCGGGACCCTGAGTATTCGTGACCTGAGCTTCTGGAAGAAGGGAATCTTTGTCCGTCTTTGTCCGTGGTGGGAATCCTGGCAGAGGCAACACTTGGCTGGCGCTGGAGAGTCTTATCCTGTGCCTCCCTCAGCATTTTCCATTCTTATGCCTAGTCACACCTTTTCCTCCAGGCGAAGTCCCCAGGGCTGCAGTCTGGGGTTCCTAACCCTCTTCTGTTGACCCCAAACCCGTTTCTTCTAGAAGCAAGGCTTTGGAACCTCTGCAAAGAATAAGTGGGCTGAGGTGGCAGTCCCTGAAGTTCCTGCCCCATGGCCAGCCTGATCCATGGAAAAAGTCCTCTCTGTAGATGCTTACTGGACATTCCCCCATCCAGGCGTGACCACAGGATCCCCACAGGAGGCTGCCTTGGAGAATGACTACTACTTCTTGGTGGCTGACCTGCCAGATACTCAGGGCTAACTCTTGCAATGGGCAAGTCTCCCGTTTGAAGATGATGTTCTCCTTTCATCTGGAGAGAACGTGGAGACAGAAGGCAGGTGCTGCCACTAGGCAGACTTTCTCCAAGATGAGAATAACTGTGCACAGAAATACCATCGTCTTTTAAGTAGGTAGGGCCATGGGAGCAAAGCCAATAGTTCTCGCCATATGCAAATAGGAAATATCAGTTGACTGAGCACTGAACCTTGTAGAAGACTTCATGCTTTTTTGCATTTTGCAGCATAGATGATATACAGATGAGAGCTCTGTGGATAAGCTCCCTTTTATTCCCTTCATTTGCATCCAGAGCTAGCTCTTTATTTCGGACAGGCTGGACAGCATGGAAGGAAGCCGTTCCCCAACAGTGGAACCATTTCTGATCAAACAGTTGTTTCCAAGTAGGGGAAATATAACACTGAATTGTCCCAAATGCCTTTTTTCCCCACTTCACTCTTTACCATAGATATTGATGAGTACAGATGAGTCCCCGGGGTGAAGTGTCATTTTCCTATGATTGGAATATTGGGAGGGACCCAATATTCCAGACTGTCCCCAGTCTGGAGGGGTATGGGGTTAACTGGAAGTGGAAACCTGTCCACATCCCCTTCTTAGGCATCCCTTTTGAGGCAAGATAAACTTAACAGTAGAGGCGCAGGGTGGCTCTCCTAGTTAGAACGTCATTAGCATTTTGAAAAAGGGTTTACCAAAACCCCGCCCCATAACACATTAAATACACATTAAATCAATGGGTTTTTTTTTTAAAGGCAGTTATCTTCCCCTACTATCCACACCCTGTTCTGTCCCCCACCCCTACCCCCTGGTGGAATCTTCCCAGAGTCTAATATTTCCCTTGGATTCCAAATCGTGTCCCCTTGGGCAGAGGTCTTGGCCTGCTGCTGCTATTTCTTTAAATTGATCTCCAGCCGAATTCCGAATGTAAAGGTCAGCAGGCGAGGAAATGGCACTTCTAATAGAAAACAATGTGCACTTTCTAAATTTGAACCAAGCCGTTTCCGCTCTTTGATTTAAGTGACTTCCTGGGGTTCCGTGTCAGGCTCTGCAGTTGAATCTCTGGCCGGATTCCAGCTTAAAATTGCACTCTCTCGGTGAAATTAGAAACTGATCCAGGGTTGGCTTAGCTCTTCTAGTAAATAGCATTTAGGCTGACTGTTCAGCTCAGCTCTTGGGAATGGGTGATGTGAGTGCCCCTCGAGGATTTCCCATCCAAGTGTCAGAAGCACACCTACCCGGAGGTTATTAGCCAGTGAGGGTTGCTGCTCTTAGAAGTGGTGGTAATAAGTCAATATCCTGGACGTGCAGGCATCAGATACAGCCCTTCTTTCTCTGGTGACTATCTGAAATAAAGGCTTTTGTTTATCCGGCTGATAAACTCCATGGGAGCACACAGAGGCTGTCTGTCATGGTCACCACATCCTCAGCACTCGGCACAATGCCTGGCACGTAATGCGTATTAGTGCTAAGGAAGTCTAAACTGTTGCTCTCCCGGGGGTTGATAAATTACTGAGTACTTGCTATATACAGGTATTGGATATGAATTTTCTTATTTAATCCTCACAAGAACCCATTTTACAGATGACGAAACTAAGGCATAGAGGTTAAAGAACCTCATTTACAGCAACACTGCTCGGGAGAGGTAAGAATTGGAATTTGGATCTAATTTCAGAGCCTGTGTCTGTAAGCCCTGAGTTGTCTATCTTAATAAGGAGCATATTTCACAGGATTACAAAAATGAACTTGAACGGCCCAGGTTTGAGTCCTGGTTCTGCTACTGGTAGTTTTGCGTGACTTTGGACAAGTTACTTTGAACATTAGTTTTCTGTAACTAGAAAAGGGATAATAAAATAGTAGCCATGTTTAGGATTATTGTGAAGAGTCAATGACCTAGGAGAGTGCCTGGCACATATTAAGTGCCAAATAAGTGTTATTTCTACTACTTACTATTATTGTTGTAACTATTACATCTCAGCCTTAATGCTGGAGAGCCCACTGAGAGAATCCAGTTCCCATTTCTCTGGGCTCCCAAGGACCTGATGGGGGTGGGAGTGTTAACAGGCTGCATACTGATGCCTGCAATCCATTCTCTCTTCCTTTTCCCCACCCCCACCCCCAGGGCCCCTAGAAGCCTGTTTCTCAGCACAGTCCAGGACCTCCAGACCCATGGAGCCCCCGATCCCACAGAGCGTCCCCTTGACTCCCAGCTCAGTCATGGTCCAGCCTCTTCTTGACAGCCGCATGCCCCATAGCCGGCTCCAGCACCCACTCACCATCCTCCCCATCGACCAGATGAAGACGAGCCACGTGGAGAATGACTACATAGACAACCCTGGCCTGGTGCCCCCCACTGGCCCTAAGCGGACCCGGGGAGGGGCGCCAGAGCTGGCCCCGACGCCTGCCCGCTGTGACCAAGACGTCACCCACCACTGGATCTCCTTCAGCGGGCGCCCCAGCTCTGTGAGCAGCAGCAGCAGCACGTCCTCTGACCAGCGGCTCTTAGACCACATGGCACCACCGCCCGTGGCTGAGCAGGCCTCCCCGAGGGCTGTGCGCATCCAGCCCAAGGCGGTCCACTGCAAGCCGCTGGACCTCAAGGGCCCAGCAGTCCCACCAGAGCTGGACAAGCACTTCTTGCTGTGCGAGGCCTGTGGGAAGTGCAAGTGCAAGGAGTGCGCGTCCCCCCGGACGTTGCCCTCCTGCTGGGTCTGCAACCAGGAATGCCTGTGCTCAGCTCAGACCCTGGTCAACTACGGCACCTGCATGTGCCTGGTGCAGGGCATCTTCTACCACTGCACCAACGAGGACGATGAGGGCTCCTGTGCCGACCACCCCTGCTCCTGCTCCCGCTCAAACTGCTGCGCCCGCTGGTCCTTCATGGGTGCTCTCTCCGTGGTGCTGCCCTGCCTGCTCTGCTACCTGCCTGCCACCGGCTGCGTGAAGCTGGCCCAGCGCGGCTACGACCGCCTGCGCCGCCCTGGTTGCCGCTGCAAGCACACGAACAGCGTCATCTGCAAGGCAGCCACCAGCGACGCCAAGGCCGGCAGACCCGACAAGCCTTTCTGACACTTGGGGTCGAAGCCCCCTGGAAACTTGGCTCCCTTCTGACAGCTGAGAAGACCACAGCGAGGCCAGAGGTTTTAGCATCCTGAGGCTGACCTTGCTCTTCTGCCCACTCCCCACCCCCAGCTTCTGAAGAAACAGAGACCACCATCACCCACCCATTCTTCCCCAAAAGGATAAAGAAGCGCTTTGGGGTTTTTTCCAGGGTCCTGGAACTTTGTGTCAGACAGTGGCAGGGGTGTGGTGTGGTGTAGGGGGATTTTTCTTTCCCAGAAGACGGAACACAGATGTGGACACATCCGGAAGTTGCAGCTGCTTGAATGCCTTCCCAGTCCCTCCTCCTCCCTCCCTTTTTCCCCCCTTTTTTCCATTCTCTTTGGCTGCCTGGGAGGAATCGTTAACTGAATGGCCAGGGGACTTTTGAAGAAGACCCTTGGAATCTTGACGTCTGTACCTTCTTCTCCTCCTCCTTCCCCCCAGTTTGCCCCACGATCTCGGGGAAGGTGTAGACCCTAGCAATCCCTGTTGTATATACTTGGGTTCCCCCTGAGAAAGGAGGATGGCCGGTGAGTCCAGGCCTTGTTCCTCACTCTGCCTCCCCAGAGCCACGGACGGATTTAGGAGCCACTGCGCAGTGCATTTCTCCCTTCCAGCTTCATCACTAACTCTTGGGGGTGTTCCACTCATAGCACCGTCCCTCGGTTCTTTCCGAGTCACAGACTCACCTGCCCACTACGTGTCCCGAGTTCTCTCTACCCAGATCCAAAAACTTGATGGGTAGAGAAGGCCGGGCGGCAAATGCGAGACCAAATATCATTTTGCCAGTGAGTCTGAGGCTGTGGTCTCTGGATCCAGTCATTATGTTTTTATAGAATAATTAACCCAGATGCTAATGGTGTTTTAAAAAATAATAATAAAACACTTGCTTCCTTTTGGGCCACCCCCAGGAAGGGCTGATTTCAAAATCTAGGGGGCGAGCAACCTCAAGGAACACAATCCCCCTCCCCACCAAGAAGAGGATTTTAACAGCAAAGAAGAGAGGCAACACCTCCCATTGGCAGAGGGACAGTTGAGCCGAGCTGGGTATGGGTTCCTTCTCTTCTGATTCTGCTGCTTGCTGTCATAGCCTTTTGTGTAGAGTGATGTGTCTGTATCTTTAATGTAAATAGACAGATGATGAAAAAAGAGTCTATTTTAGTGTTAGGAAGCCCTGGCGGGGGAGTCAGAAGAGCGCGAGTTGGGGAGAAGATTCTCCAGGGGCTTCTTAGGATGGAGCCCTGCTTCTGTGCATGGCCACACCACCCCCTCCCGACAGCCCCCAAAGACGTAGCAACTCTTTCTCTCAAGGTGCTAAAGGACTCAGAAAGTGCAGCACGTCCAGTGGGTAGGTACTTGTTGCATGCAAAAGCTGTAGTGTGTCTGGTCCTCCCCAGCTGTTGTGCGGGGTTTTTGCTTCTTGTAGTATTTTGTGTTCCTCCCCAATGAAAGGAAGTGGCCTGGGTCCGAAAAGCTACCCCAGGTGAAATTGGAGGTGCATTCATTAGGCAGCATTTCCAGTTCATTCTGTAGGAGGAGACCTGCCTCCAGGAAAGGGCGCAAAGAGGCAGGTAGCTGTGATTGGCATGCACCCGATGCTTCTCAAGACTTTCTTTTTTTCCTTCTTGAAGACTAGTAGTAACATCTTATGATTTAGAATAAGTTAATTGTAACCATAGGTATTTATTGATCGGAGGAGAGGAGGGGAGGGTCTTATTATTTTAGGCTTTATTTATATAACATTTGCTAGCTTGTAAAAGGCAAATATGAAATATTGCATCTACATTTTCTAAGGCTGATTCACGTAGCTCCCTTGCCACAGTTGCGATGGATGTGTGGATGTTCTTGCACAAATCGGAGGGGATAGTAGAAAAAACACATTCAGCCAACCACTTATGCTAATTGAATGTATCAGATGTGTACTGAAGGGACTGGAGATGTCTTCCTCAGAATAGGTCTGCAGAGGTTACCCCAAAAAGAGGGCACACGTCCACTCTTGGCGAGACCTCGGACCCTTTCCCAGAGCCCTCCCTCAGATGTCTCCATGGGAAACTTGACCCAGTGGCAAGATGCACTTTGGTGATCTTGGTGTTCTACACGCCCATTCTGTGGAGAGTTGATTTACATAAGCTGTGTCTACACACACACACACACACACACACACACACACACACACACCCACACACACCACCGATCCTCTATCTACATAGACCCTGTTTCCTGGCAAACAGCCTCCTGAACCCTGACTTTATGTGTACATAGTTGTAAACATGGATTTATCTGGGTTTCGGTTCTTTTTTTTTCTCCCTGTTTTGGCTTGTTCTTTTTGGTTTGCATTTAGCCTGCTAGATGATGTCTGCAGAACTCTCAGTGTCCTGTGTGCTCGGCGGGAAAGGGAAGGACTGAGGCAGCTTTGGTTCTCCCAGCTCTATTGCATAGCAGTCCTTCAGCATGTTTTTCTCAGCTTCTTGGCAAAAATCAAAACAAAAGAAAACTGGCTTGCCCGTGGACCCTGGGGGCCACTGAGGGACCAAGGCTCTCAGAAACGTGACACATTTCTGTGGCTGCTTCTGGCTGATTGTGTTCTCTGTCACCAACGGCTTGCTTGGCTGGATTATGCCTCGTCTTGACCTTTTTTGAAAAGTGCCAGCTGGTTCCCACTTCTGTTCAACCTGGGGTGGGGGGTGGGGTCCACAAGCCTGGGTCCAGGACACTTATCCTAGGGGGCCTTGACTGTTCCCCACTGAGGGTGGGTTTGTGAAGGCCCAACACTCCAGCAAGCACCCTGGGAACTGGGTCTAGGATAGCAAAGCCCTCCCAGCTAGATGACGGGGCGTGACCAAGGCTTCTCACGGTCCCCGGTTGGAAGAGGTGAAGACCAATCCCTGCTGTGGATATGGACCCCTTCACAGCTTACAGAGATAGAAGACCTTCATGTGATGCGTCTGGTTCTTTCAGCGTTCTGCAGTCTGCGTGGGTTCCCATTGTACATCAAGTGAGGCCCAGTTAGATAATGACTTGTTCAAGCTTGCACAACATGGAAAATGTTAGTTGGGACCAGCACCCAGATTCCATCACCTCGGAGCTTCATGTTCTCCTCCCATGCTGCCCCAGAAGATGTCCCATGGGTTGTGGGCAGCACACAACTTTGCACTGTACAACTCACTAGGGCATCCCACAAGCTTCACCGGCCTTCTGGTTCATGCCTTCGGTAAGCCTTTTCATGCCCTCTGCTTACTGTGACAGTTGATGACAAATCTCACGCTGCCATTTTTGCTGTGGGTAACTCCGTTATGGTGTCTTGTCTTGCTTTCTCTTCTCACCGCCCCACAGTTTGGTTTTGTGTTACAAACAGAAAAGCTGTTCAAGGTTCCCACTGCACCACATTCCTACTTCATTTCCCCTTCACTGTGGCCCCTTCTCACCCCACAACAAAGTTACCACAGGTTTCCTTTGTATAGAATATTTATTTTGAAGCTCTATTTTAATAGTATTTATTTTAGAAAGTCTACTATTGTAAGAGTTCTTCTGTTTGTGAAGAAAAAAACAAGTTACAAACTGAATGTACTGATCTAGAAAATATATATAAATATATATTGTTAAATATACACAGGACTGCCGTTTCTTGTGTGTTTGTGTGTTCACACCCTGACATCCTCACCCAGCAAGGCTTCAGGTTTGTCAAAGAACAGTCACCAATGGGAAATGCATACCCAAGCTCTGGCAGGACAAAGGGGCAGGGAGAGGGGGCTTCCTGGCCAGTCCCTTGTCCTGCCTCTAGGATGACCTTCGAACCATTGGAGGAAAGCTTCACTTTCTTAGGAAGCTGAATCCTGCCAGGTGCTGCTAAGTCCTCCTCAGGCAAGCCCTCCCCTCCTTGGGGCTATATTTGTGACAGATGGACATCAAAACTCAAACTGGGAAGTGTTGGAGGGGTCATCCGACCTGCTCAGCTTACAAAAATTCTGCAGCTCTTTCCTTTTATGCCCTGGTGCCCCCCAAAAAAGACTTCCATGCACATAACCCACATACGTGCTTCAAGAAGGCAAACAGAAAAGCCCTTGGTGGTCTTATTTTCACTAGATTGGTGGACATTACAAAAAACCAGTTCCTTTAAAAGGACCTCTAAAGCCTTCCATCCATTTAGTGACTTGCCCTTCTAATGCACCTTCCATCTGCCTCCCCTATTTTCCCCACCAAATACACTCAAAACTTGGTAGACACCCAATTACTTCTCTATGTAGCTGGGGCAACATTTTCATTTTTAATTCATAGGCCAATCACAATGAAAGTTGGACTTTTATTTTGGACATGTGAATACAAGCATCTTATTTAATGAAAGAAAAGGAATTGAGGAGTAAAGATTATGTTACCAATAAGTGGGGGCGGACAACAATGGTCGGGGGGGACAGGAGTTGAGGGAGAGATGAGGTCAGAAGCCCTGGGTCCAGTTCTTTGTTTCTCTGGGGTCGCCAGTTATGGCATCTTCCGATCTTTTGTGAAAGCCTCGGGTCCCTCCTGGAGACATCCAGACACATCCCAGGGATCCTCTGGTCATTGCCCAAGAAGGCACAAAGGGTGCTCTTCCTCAACGTGGTCTTGTCTGCTCTAGAACTTTAAAGACAGGCTCTGGCTTCCCTCTCTGCCAGGCCACATGACTCCCCTTCCCACAAGAGAGAAAGAGTAATTAGTGCTCCGGAGTCTTCCTTGCCTGACAAGGTAAGTAACTGGCACTTAGAGATGCTTTTCTTTTTAATCGGCTCAGTCCCAATTTCTGTACACCGGGCTTTGATTCAGTCTTGGGTTTCCTGATGGGTGGGGATGTGAGGAAGGCTTGTCCCTGGTTTTACTTTAATTGTTTCTGGTGTTTGGAGATTAAAAACAACAAAACCTATACAGGTTGTTGGGTGCTTAGAGTCTTACCCACTCAGATGCTCTTGGGGAAACAGGAGCTGAATGAACGTGTGCTTGTTTTAAAAAAATGTCCAGAGAAAAATTACACATGTGCCTCCTTTCTCTTTCTCTCCCTGACTGGCCCCTGTTCCTCCTGGTTCCCAGTTATAAAATGGCTTTTGGGTAATAGGAATGGTTGCATGTGTTAAGCGGTTTCTTTTTACCAGGTGCTGAACATACACAGCTGATACCACTGTTAGTTCCTCTTAGAGATGCAGAAACCGAGGTTTGGCGAAGTTGTCGCGTGCCTGATAAATAGAGTTGAGGGGTAGATGGGAAAAACGGACAGTTGAAGGTTTAGCAACTCAGTTTGGGGAGCAAGCACAGGATGGACTCAAAAGACTCCCCAGTGATCAAATTTAAAAATAAGGGGGAAAAAGCAGAACTTTAACCCTCTCCACACCCATATCCGCACACCCCTGTGAGGGCACCCCAAGCCTGGTGCTCATCCCACAAAGAATGAATGGTCCTGTGGGGGGTGAGGGTAGGGGTCCCCGCTCTGGTGTCAGACAACCAGAACCCGTTAGGCAGCTTTGTCATCTGGCCAGAAGGCCCCAAGCCACTCCTGCAGCTCCCCCGCTGGCCCCTCCAGCCTGCTGAACCTGCAACTTGAAATGAGCTCAACTTTCCGAAGTGCGCTTGTGAACGAGTCAGATGAACCCTGCAGACAGCTCCATGCTGGAGGTGTGTGCCAGATGAAAGCCAAGAGGACATTTTTAAGAGCCTTAAGTTTATTCATCGGAACTTTAATAAAACAATATGTCCATGGCCCGGGGCAGGTATAATTTTCATAATTTATGGGTCTCTGAGACAGGAAGAGAGCTCGGGATTTTATTGTGTTTTGCACGATAAATGGCATTCCAATTGTCTACATGATGTTCTTTCAGGACTCTTGTCTGGCAGGAACACAGGCCTTCTGGAGCCCACCTGGGCCTCAAGGCCCGAGGCAAGGGATAATTATGAATACATCTGTATCTGTTAAGCAGGAGATGATTGAAAAACTCCCTTGCTTCCTTCTGTCATTAGAAGACACTTCCTATGCCAACACCTATATTAACATTTAACTGCTGCAAGGTTTGGAACCCTCCCTGGTCCCTTCCTCTCCCACCTTCTCCTCCCCTGGGTCTGGCCTCTTTCTTTCCTGCACCTGAAGACACTCAGGTAAACTTCTCCTGACTGGCGTGGTGAGGGAGTGGCTTCAGACTCTGAACAAAAAATGCGCCATCCACAAAACGAGACAGTGGAGCTCCTGGTGATGTTCTAACTGAAATCAGTAATTGAATACCTGCACAAGGTAACAGGTCAAGTGGCCTTATGAAATCATTACAAAAGCTGCATTATCATTTACAATCTTGGAAACAATCAAATTAGACTGATACAATCAGTCTCATTTTACAGATGAGAAAACAGGCTCAGAGAGGTTAAGTCACTTGCCCAAGGCCACACATGTGATAAGTGGTAGACATTCCTCCAAAGCCTGTGCACTGCATGCTAAGGTCCTATTCTAACCTTCAACCCTATGCAAATATCGCCTCTCCTGGGATGCTTTCCTGTGTCCCCAGGAAGAGGTTTCCTTCCCATTTGTGCTTCTCTAGAAGTCAGAAGAGTAGATGGTTTGTTTTAACCAAGATTACATAGATCGTAATCAAGATAGGACTTGAACCCAAGTCTAACCACCACACTACTACACCCGGTATGAAACCTTGGGGCCCCACGCTCATACTGATCTCAGGAAGGATCCTCCATTACCGCACGACATTGCTCTTGGCCAGCCTGCCTGATTTCCTCTGCAATCGAAAGAGGAATGGCTTCCCCAGACCTTTGGAATTATTTGGGCTGTGGTGGCCAGAGGCAAGAATCTTCCAGGGGAGAGAAGGAGCTGTGAGTTCCCTCGGGTAATTCAGAAGTCAGGGTCTGGTGGCTTCACGGGAAGAAATGCACACACAGGGTAAAGGGCGCAGGCCACCTTTCTGCGCTTCCAGGGGCAAAGCCACAGTCCTCTTTGTGCCAACCTTGGAGAAGATGGATGGAGCAGGGACCAGGGAGCCAAAGCAGCAGGGGTGGAGGTGGAAGGTACTGGGGACCCTCATGTTATAAGCAGTGCTCCTCTCAACCCCCAGGCTACCCCTTGACCGGTTTCCAGGCAGTGGTCCAGCCAGCCCTGGATTACCAAGGCACTCTGAGCTGCCGGGATCTAATCGGATCAGAGAACCAGTGTTGGGAGAGCCACTATTGTAGAGAGTGGAGCACTAGTGTGGAGAACTAGCAGTAGAGTGGGACAGACAGGGCCTTGGGCTCTCTGAGAAGCGACTGCCACTTCCA